TAGGGTCTATAGTTTGTTATGTTGGCTAATATGATGATGGGAAAATATGAATAAGTAAGAACAGATTGAAATACCAAAGTCTCTCAAGATCCCAGTGCCACACTGACATGTTGTTAACTGGATATAATGTACCTACATGTGTGTGTGTGTGTGTATTCACAAACATATATATGTATTATATTAGATATAAATGGAGCACACGCTTTTCATTGTTATGTAACGGGTTCCTGGAAAATGGATGAGGCCCCTCCCTTGGAAAATTGAGAAGCTGGTTTGGCAGTCACCCAGTATTATAGTCATCTATTGTTTGAAGACTATACAACAAAATGTACATAATTTGCATTCATTTATAGACATTTTGACTTTTTATCTTTGGTAGATTGGCTTTTTTGGGGATCATTCTAATTCTTGACGCGCAGCGGCCTGATTTTTCCCTCGAATTGGGGTCTTGAAAAAAATTTGGGGGTCTTGAAAAATTTTTCCAGGATTTGGTGGGGACCCTGTATACATCATTTTTCAACACTCCGCCCAAATTAGTTTCAGGGAGTTCAGGATGTGAACTGAACTCCAGTATTCAGAGTTGTGTATTTTTGGCCCTAGCAGGTTTTGTGGAGAGAGAAACAAGGGAGGAGAATGCGCACACATTGGAATTACAGGCAATTCTTATTGTTAAAAAAAAAAGAAAGGAAAATTGACAAGTTAAATGGAGTTATTTATATAGGAAAATTCCATTTTGCAAGTTTTGTTGCTGATACCAATAATTCCATATACATTTGTTTGCTGTTAGGCAGAAGTTGGTCTTACCCAGGCTGCTGTTAATCCATTACACACTAACTCGCCTGAGATCGCCTGCGAATTTCCTTACGCACTCCACCTTAACTCGCCTGCCATCGCCCGCGCCGACCTAGCGTCTTTAGAAACAAAAGTCTCCCCTTGATGAGACTCTGGGGCCGAGCCTTTGATTTGTATAGTTATTGCAAAAAAGTTTCTTCTTTCGTTTGATACCGAAACAAAATTTTTCGGGCCTGTAGTTTTATAGCAATGCCCACCGAGCGCGTTTTGTTCAGCGGGGGTGTTTCGTGGGACGCACTAACGCAAAGGTTGTTGTCTTCAACTCGCTCTCACGCCGCTTCTCGTGAATGGATATGAATGAAACTTGGCAGCCAATCAGAAAAGAGGTCAATCTCGTAGTATGCAGTTTGACAACATTGTACCCATCCTAGAAGCAGTCGAAAATGTTTGCGGAAGTGGTTGATGTGGTGCGCTTTGAAGATTTTTCGGAGCTGTGATTTGTCAAACTGACTGATACGTTGTACACCATTTTTCTTTATTCCCTTAAAATTTCAAGCTTCTGTGTTGAGCTGTTTTCGCGTAATCTTTAAAAATGTGGGAGTAACTATGGGAAAAAGCGACATTGCCATTTGCGCGTACTGGGTGAACGTCCTGCTGCTGGGAAATTTCCACTGAGTGACGTCATCAGCCATCGGTCGCCTCGGGCGCTACAAACGAGGCCCGCTTATGTGAACCGGAAAGGGGGGGGGAAGGATACTTGAAAACTAAACGGGGGGCCTTGATAACTTGCGTTTTTGTTGCATTTTAGTCACAATACAATAGATGTAGTCATTTTTATTTGCTTGATTGCATGACAGAAGAATAGAAACAGAAAAGCAAACATCTTGAGAAGTGGTATGGCATTGTGTTTGCGTTATGAAAGCCTATTCCCCCCTCTTGGGAAAGCACACACTTGGACTCGTCCTGTGTGCTCTGTTTGGAAAAGGAGGCATTAAGATTGTTATTAAAGAGTATGGTACTTATTTAGTCCAGTCTGGGAAGATAGTCCCCGATTATACATTGTTATCGTTCACGCGTGCGTGCGTGAGTGCGTGCGCATGCATGTGTGTGTGTGTGTGCGCGTGAGTGAGAGAGAGAGAGAGAGAGAGAGAGAGAAGGGGGGGGGGGGTGTAAATATGTTACATTTATTGTATGAGTTGTAGCCTACACATGCGAAATATTCCCATGACTTGTAAACTATATTATCTGAATGCATTTTAATCTGACACACAATAGGACACTGTCCAACAATAGATATACACAGAGACGATCTTATTTTCTGTAACAAAGTATGCATGCTTTTACTAGTACAGAACTGGATTTATTAGTAGCTCTCTACTTACATTTTTGTGACAAATTGATCCAGAACATTGCTTGGCAAGGAGGAACCTTTTATGTTGCCAAGTTTCATTCAAATATCATGACTTTGAGAGAACATATGACTGATAATCTTTGTAAATCTGTAAAGAACCCCACTTTTTTACCTGTTAATGTCTTTACAACTCAAAAAGTATGACAGATATTAAAATCTGACAGCATGACTAGATTCTGCATTAAAAAATGTACTAGACTACCAAGTTTCATTTACATATTCCAAGAAATAGGCGAGGTATGACAAATATTGTCTCAAACCACCACATTTTTACCTATAAACGTCTTCATAACTCAAAAAATAGGATAGCTATGAAAAATCTGAAAGCAGGACTAGATTCTGCACTAGAAAATGTACTGGGTTGCCAAGTTTCTTTTAAATACTCAGAGAAATGAGCGAGTTATGACGAATATTGTCTCAAAACTCATCAAAGAACGTCCCATATTTTGGGCTTTTTTCATTATATAAAAGTGTACCAGAAATTAATTGATTAAAAAATCTGTAACTTTTTTGTTTATTGATGGATTTCAAAAATTCAAAAAGTTCCATGCTCTGTGAAGATAAAGCTACAAAATGCACCTATTTGCAAACACTTTCTGGCAAAAAAAGGATTTTCGTGGTCATTGCTAAGTTTTAGTATTAGAGCAGATCGAAGTGCGACCATGTTACCGACACTTCAAAGGTGTCTCGACTTGTTGAAAAGCGACACAATTGAGGTTGAAAAAGGAAACGATGGATTTGAGCAAAAACAAGCATATGACAAATCAGATGACTCAGATTTTGATGAAAACGTTGTAGCAACAGTGCTTCCACTCTTCCGTATTTTTACGGAAATCCGTACTTTCTGCTAGTTCCGTACTTGTTCCTCCATCATTATCAACTCCTCCGTAAAAATCTGCGACAGCGTACAACTACTGAAATTCCGTAGCAAAAGATCTGTACTCGCCTTCATATTGTCTTGTATAAGTTACGGATATTGACGGTAATTCTCTCGGCAACAGTTTATGTTATAAAAACCTGCCAGATTGCGCATTTTCTGCAATCGGCCATTATTCCGCTATCCCACATGCATTCATTGCGGGTTGGTCGGCAATAAATTTTTTTACCAGCTGATTGATCAAAATCTGGTGAACTTTTAGTGTCACTTTCCTCCTTTCTATCATTCCCTCAGTCCGTCTGTCTATCTTCGGATTGTTGCCGCGGCTGGAAAAATGCGCATTGATCAAGTAAATTGACTTGTGATCTTAGACAGAAAATTACTGTCAGAAAGAAACTTTTTTGCAAATTTATTGTATAGATCTAGAGAAATTATCAGTGCGAAGATTCTACGGCACAGGAACGCGATAAGGGGCGCGATGAAAGAAATTTGTCCTAAAACTACTAAAATCAAAAATAATTCGAAGTGATGTTCCGAAGTTTGTGACATGCGACATTCAAAAGTGAGGAAAATTAGGGTGTACGCTGGGCAACTTCAGACCTGCCACTCATCCCGATTTAGTCGGGATATCCTGATTTTTTGCCCCTAATCTCAAGCATCCCGATTTTCCTGAGTTTCGATCGCGTGTATCGCGATTTTTTTGTCCCATTCTGATGTTGTGCCGGATTTTTCTAAAAACTTACTCTGCCTTCTCCTTTATAGTGGGAAGCACCCGTTGAACTTTTTGTCAGTAGGAACTCTGAGCATTATTTCCCAAAATATCAATGCCGCATTTAGTAGTCGACCCGCCCCAAGTTGTGTGTGGTCTTTACCCGCGCTCAGAATTCTCCGATGATAGCATGGTAACTGCTGTTACAATTTGGGACATACAAATAATCAATAATACATGTATTCGTAGTTCCGCTGTTACTTTCAAAACTAGCCTTGTCCGAGGTCTGGTAACTGCGCTTTCACAACAAACAGTCGCGACAGTCTTTCTAACCCTTACACAACTACATGTAACTGCGCTGACAAGATGAACATACGGCTGTTGTCGTTGCTTTAGTCTGAACGCATTACGAGGGATAAGACAATTGTTGGTATACTTGGTCGTCGGCTGCCGTTGTTATCCTAGAAGTAGAGCGACTGTCTCTCATCCGAGTGTTCGGTGTCAACGCGCAGTAAGTCGGATCTGTTCGTAAAATTGTTTCAACCGCGCATTTGCATCATGTGACATGACATCGCCGTGTGAGTTCTGCGTGTCAGGGACCGTCCGTTGACCAGTCAACCTAAGTTCACGTATTTCGGGACTTATTGAGGGGGGGGGGGGTATAGACACTTGGACTTGGAGTGCTTGACGTGATGCTTAAGGATTTACCAAAAATAATGATAAGACGCACACACACACACGCACACACGCACGCAAACAAAGACTGTCAGATGCATATAGGCCAAGTAATTTATGGACACCCCTGGAAAATTTTTAAGTCAGCTTTGGCAGTCACCTTGGTGATTTGCTGTTGATCCCAATTTTTTTCACCAAATCCCGATTTTTTCTCCCTGAGATCCTCATTTTGAGGTTTCATAGAGTGGCAGGTCTGGTAACTGTATTGTGAAGGTACATATCTATTCATTATTCCCAGGTTTGCCTTCTGTCAGTATCTAAGGTGCGATGACAAGGAAGGGAACCTGCTTTTAAACATTGCCAGCAATGGAAAGATATGCTGGTGAAGAAATCAAACCAGACAAAATCTTGGTGAAAAAATAGGTAGTGTGGGTTGTTTGCAATCTCTTCAAACAGGCTCCCAAATGCCATTTTCAACCCTCTAAAAGTTCTAAATTTCGATTTCTTCGGGGGGCTTCGCCTCCTGAACCCCCACCGGGACGCTGTCCCCGGACCCTTCTTTCCCCCAACTACAACCAAACTTCTTAATTTTTTGTAGGTGAATTTTAGGTGCAATGGGATTTTTTGCTTCTTCTCTTCATGATACATCTGTCATCATTATCTGTCCTTCTTTTCTTTATTTGTCACTTTCCATTAGCACCTCTAATCTTTGACATTTACATGATCTATTTGTGTTGCGAGCGCTGTAAAGCTTTTACTAAAACTAAACCAAAGCAATTGCTTGATTTTGTTCCTCTGCTCAGAGTGCCTCCGCCGCGCCGCGAGGGCCTGCGGGAGATCCGGGAGAACCAGGAGTTGAACAAGGAGAACAACGAGCAGCAGACGACGCCCACCACCATCTCGTCCACGTCCTCGTCCTCAAGCACGTCCTCCGTCAACGAGGTCCAGGTGGAGGAGCTGGTGGCTCAGGGCTACGGCCGGCTGCAAGTGGTGGACGCGCTCCGGGTTGCCCGCAACAATGTCATCATGGCACAGGAGATCCTCGAGACCTTTGTCAAACAAAATGGCTGACCGACTGACCGACTGTTTGGCTGACTGACTGACTGGCCGACCGACTCTGCTTCTGGGTAACTACAGTCGTCGTCGTTGTCGTCGTCTTCTGCGACTACCACCACTGCTCCTCCTCCTCCCCGGCCTCCTCTTACTGCTGCTGCTGCTGCGGACGTCTCTGATTCACTGGCTCGTGGGCCATGGAATGAACTGGAGGATAATTTGAGTCTTGGAGGGGACGTGTGGTTTACTACCTGTACTGTTGTCACTGAATTGGCATTTTATCTCCACTTTCTTCTCATCTTCCCCATCTTCCTCCTCCTCCTTGTCATCTTTTTCTTTCCTCATCTTCCTCCTCCTCCTTGTCATCTTTTTCTTTCCTCATCTTCCTGATCCTGAACTAAAGACTTCTATCTAATCACATCATTGGAAGTTTACAATGGCTGCATTGGATGTAGAACAGGGCTGTCAAATTCAATTGCTTTGGGGTGGGGGGGTGGGGTGGGGGGTACACACACAATCTTAGATTACTCTTAAGGTCATGGGCCGGACTAAATAAACGCTTATTGAGAAGTGGACAATTAAACCTTTTTTAAACAATGATACAGATGAAAATGGACAAAAGTTAAAGTAGATATGTGTGGGGGAAGATCTTGCAGCTGCAAGCACCATTGAAAACTCATACCTAAACAAAGAAGCAGGGTTCTGTATAATGGAGATTCTCAGGATGGATATGGATCAGAAGATTCCATACCGTGGGCCAGATAATATAATTGTTTGCTTGGCTGGATGCGGTCTGCGGGCCTTGAGTTGTTTTTTTTAACCCAAGGTGTAGAGGCTTGAAGCTTTGTTTTCCCTTTTTTAGCACCGTGAAACGTCTTTTCTTGGTAACAAGTTAGTCTATGTGTGTAGGTTCTCGGGATGGGCTTCAAGAAAATTCTCTGGTTGGGCTGATAGTGTAATTATTTGCCGGGCGGAATGCGGTCTGTGGGCCTTTGTTTTGACACCTACGTATGGTACTTTGGGTGTAGAGGCTTTGAGCTTTCTGTTTTCACTTTTGTTGGACTGTGAGGCTGCGCCTGTGGTTTTGACCCAGCTGTGAAATAGCCCTGCTCTTCCAGGGTTTTTCTCTTTCGCCTTTACCTTTCTGCCTCCCTCCATCTCCTCCTCTATCCCCCCTCCCCCCCTCTATCTCTCTGCGTCTTTGTCTCTTTGCCCGCCCCCCTCCTCCACCCGTGAATTAGACATCATCAAATACTCATGTACTCATAAACACCTCACATTCATGTTGTTTTGATTGCCGCCGTCCCTCACGCCTGGTAGAAAGGTAGAAGTGGCAGTCGTTTGGTAAATACCAGTTTATATTATTTCAAATATTTTTTTAATAAGGACATAAATGAGGTGGGAAGAGTTGTTGAAAATGCTAAAAACAGTCAGTTGCTGCTGATTCTCTCTCTCTCCTCTCTCTCTCTCTCTTTCTTTCTGTCGGTATGTATTTGTATGTGTGTTGATTACACAATTTGTCTGTTAGATTCAATGCTGATCTCAGTAAGGATTCAGGCTCTGTGAGGAATGTTCACAATTTAGAAACGGGCATCATCTGAACACATCTTGGGGTCTCCAACAGGAGGTG